TAGGCTAAGCTATGGATGTTTGGCAGGTTGGGTGTATTAAATGCATCTTTGACTTCATGGTATTTTCAACTTACAACGGGTTTATGAGGATGTAACCCCGTTGTAAGTTGAACAACATTTGTGTTATTTTTAAGCCTTTTAACATAATAGAGTCTTCATGCATTGTAGAATTTTGGTTTTCAGAAGTGGATGATTTTGTTTCCCCTCTCCGTTTTTCCCTCTGAGCATATCTGTCTAGTGCTTGAGCAGTTACTGCTATCTGTCCCCTAACCTCCAGTGTGGAACCAGGTCCTTCAGCAGCATTTTAGAGCTTCTTCCCTACAGTGACATTGGGGCTGTGGTAGATTCTGACCCTTGGCTGAAGTGGGGAGGGGGCTGCTTAAGGTCCAGTCTCCTTAGTCCTGCAGCTTGCTGAAAACCATAGTCCTAAATGAGGTTTAATAGCAGTTGGTGTTGTGCCTCATGTTGGCTTTCTTTTCCAAAACTTCAACCAGTGAATCTGGCCTTGGTTCCCATCTCATTTTGAGCACTTTTTCCCTCCTTGTTATCGCCCTAAGTTCCTAGTCACCAGTGCTGGCTTTTGACTTCAAAGTCTAGAAGACCTGTGATTTCACCCTCGTTCACTGCTGTGTTTTTGTTGTTGTCATTGTTGTTCTGTTGTTGCTGTACTGAGATATTTATTTTATTTTGGATCTCAAAAATATTTATATTTTACCTATAATTGCTGTGTCTTTGGAGCTGAGGAAATATGTCAAAATAAGAATTTACTGAGCTATTTTGATAAGACATCTGTAAAAAATATGAAGTACAATATAAAATCTAGCTGATTTTGACATTTTATTCTAGAAACTCTTTGCTTAATTGTAAGCAATGAAAATTAAAGATTGAGAGTCAACAATAGCTACCATTTATTAAATATCCTATATACTAATCATTTTATTTGGTACTTCACACTTAACCACATCACACTTTGGTATCCCAGATTCATAGTGGAATTATCCACTTATTCCCGATGAGGAAGGCAAGGCTTTGAGAGTTCAAATACCTTTACTAAAGTAGCATAGCTAGGAAGTGAGGAAACTAGCAGTTGAGGCCAAATTATCATAAGTCCTATGTCTTAGAACTGTAAGATAGGAACAATCTCAGTTTTTTATAGATCTTAATGATTAAAGTAGCCAAAGACCTAATAGATGAAACTCCAAGGAAATTGTATTTTACTTTCTCTTGCATATCATTTCTGCATTAATCTTACTAAAACACAACACTCCTTTAACATTGCTCATGTTTCCCTATTTCCATAGTGTCAAATTTAAAATCTCACAGCCTTGCAGTGAGTGCAGAGGTCCGGATCCACAGCCCCGACTTGGGCGGCTGCAGCCTCACTGGTGCAAGGCTCCTGCCTACTCCTTGCCCCCCAAGAGCCCAGGGAGGCCCAGGTCCACAACCCTGACTTGGGCAGCTGCAGCCATGCCCAAAACGGTGGGGCTGCTACCTGTAGCTCCTGGCCCTCTGGAGCATGCAGCCCCTGCTGTGCTCCCTCACAGCCTGGGGCTGGGGCTCTAGGTCCTTGCTGGGCCCCGGCCAGTGTCCAGGGCAGGGGCAACGTCTCCTCGAGCTCCCTCGGTGGCTCCAGTGCTCAGGGGCGGCCCAGAGCTCCCCCTCACCTGGCTTGGGGCCCTGCCCAGGATGGGCATCTCTAGGAGTGGATCGCAGGCCTTGGGCCGGCCATTGGGAGTGATACTGTGCAGACCTATATGGGGTAGACCCTGGGGATGCCACCCTGGGCATGCGACCCTGGGCGGGCCTGTGCAGACAGCCTCCTCCAGAGGCGCAGGAATCCAGTGCTCTCTGCGAGGTGGGCATGGTGACTGCACTGCTGGCTGATCCCCGAAGTGGGCACCACTCTCACTTCCTGCCCCTGGCCCCTGAAGCGTGGCTCCAGCACTGCCTCCTCCCATCACCCTCCCTGCAGCCGTGGCAGGAGAGAGCAGTGACTTGGGGAGAGTTTCTGGAGCTGCAGAGGCTCTGGGCCTGGGGCTGGGTCCTGCCTGGCTGTGTAAGGGTGAGGGCAGTGCAGTCAGCCGCCTCCTGGAGGTAGGGCACGAGAGACTCACCACAGCTATTGCTGCTCCTGCAGCCACTCCTGCCTCCACCGCCCACGCCTCCCCACTACAGATGGCCTGCTGCCATCAGTAGCATGAATTCTCTTTAATATGCCTTGCTCATTATTTTTTCTGTGCCACTTTTTATAGCATAGTACGGTCTTTAGGACTCTCTTTCCAACTGCTTGCCTTTCAGATGCAAGCCTCTTCTAGTAACTTCACTTTCTTCATGAATCTTTATCTGTCTGCAACAGTTTACAGTGAACCTTTTTAGAACGTTAGATGTTATAGTTGATGTCACACATATAGCATCTATTTGTGCTTTATGTTTAAGTTTTGTTACTGAGATTGTGATTTCCCTGATTGTTTCTATACATCTCCTAATTATCTCCGCAGCATTCTTAAGATGTAGTATATGGAAATAACTTCAGAAATTGCAACTTTTAACCAGTAGCTTGAAGAAATAAAGGATGTCTTCTCATTCAATTTGAATTTGTGTAGCAAGTCATCATGACTTTCTTATGACATTTATCATTAGCTTCCTCTTTTTCATCTGAGAAGATCAGTATGGTCTATTTCAAAAAATGAAAGTAAATTAAACCACAGTTATTTTCCTGCTCCCATCTTCCCTAAATACTCAGCATGCTGATCACCACAATATTCGGGGTGGGGTGAGAAAAGTGAGTCTCTTGGGCAGTGTCTTACATGGCTGTTGGAGCCGGGTGCCTAATCATTGTGCTTTTACTTTCCGCTTTGAGAAATTGCAGGGTTATGGAGTTTCTCTTGTTGAGCTGTGCTGCTTTGTGGGAGGGGTGATGCAGGTAAAATGAAACTTCTTACTCTCTCCACTGCGTCTATTCTGTTTTTTTTGCCTCAGTAGTGTGCTGAAACTTTTCTGCGGGATTACTAGACTCCCACAAAGGTGCTCTCGTCCACAAGTTGTTGTGAAAATTGATGCTTCTTGGGGGCATGTGACAATAGAAAGCACCTCTTCTGCCATCTTGCTGATACTACCTTTGTCACATTTTACTCTTAACAAGCCCTTGATGAAGGCTTTTATATTAATGAGCTTGTAAATTTGATGAATATAGATAATGCCATGGCATTATTTCAAGGTGACTTTTTGTGAGCTGTGGGGGTAAGTCACACAAAATAAGAACACAGTAAAACCATGAGGCATAATCAGATAACTTATATATTCATTGATGCTCAATATTAATGCACTGAGTCATCTTTGAACACAGTGGTGCTTTGTCAGCTGCTTCTTGTGGAAACAAATAATACTTGATGCTAATTTTGTGGAATATATTTTCCTGGACTTTTTTTTTTCAGATGGACGATATTCCCCTTGGCTAATAAATGTGTATAAGTTACCTCAGTATATCAGTATATCAAATCTTTGGTCATATAAAGTATTTTATTAACCCTCAACATTGGTGTAGACATTATAGAAATATTATCAAGTTAGTCTTCCTGCTTTCAGTAACTTTTCTTTCAGGTTACTTGTGTTAAGATCTGGAATTTTTACTGTCTTTTGAAAAGGTCCTATGAGAGCTGGTCCCAGTCATACCAGCTTTTTTTCATCGTGGATGTGTGAAATTGTTTTCCAACTCAGTGACATCTTACATACTTTTCTCATTTGCAGGTGACACCATAACTCGTTTTCTCCCTTTGCACACACTTTTCATGTCATGATTTTTTTGCATGTATTGGGCCTTGACACTTCTTCAGAGAAGAGTTTATTGATCTGCTCATTGTAAATTGTATACCACAGCTAAAAATCTTTCATTGTACCTGTATTAGTCTGTTCTCATGCTGCTAATAAAGACATATCTGAGACTGGGTAATTTATAAAGAAGAGATTTAATGGACTCACAGTTCCACGTGGCTGGGGAGACCTTGCAATCACAGTGGAAGGCAAAGGAGGAGCAAAGTCACATCTTAATGGCAGCAGACAAGAGAGCATGTGCTCGGGAACTCCTCTTTATAAAAACCATCAGATCTTGTGAGACTCGTTCACTATTATGAGAACAGCTTGGGAAAGACCCGTCCCCATGATTCAATTACCTCTCACCGGTCTCTCCCACAACACATGGGAATTATGGGAGCTACAATTCAAGATGAGATTTGGGTGGGGACACAGCCAAACCACATCAGTACCTTTTCATTTTCATTTTAGATTTATTAGTGTCCATGTCTGTCTGATTCCCTGTCCAGACCAAGAGATTTCTGAAGATAGTAATCCTGTTCATTTTTGTTCACTGATAAATTTTTGACAGTTGGCACAGGGACTGGCATTATAGTGGATGCTGCTTATGAAGTAGTCAGAGAGAATCCAAGGACCTTTCTGTTACTAGGTTCAGAATTCCTCTACCAGACTTAGAATTCCTCTGCTGACATTGTGTTGCAAGAAATACAATACCAATATAATGGAGTATGCATTAAACTTTTCAAAGTTTAATTGTGTGGGTTCCTCCCTGCCACAACCCCCCACATTTTTCCAGATATTTTTTTTTAACCAAGGGTATGAGCAAACTTTCATGCAGAAAAATGTTAAAGGACATAAATAATTTTAAAAAATTAATCTGAGCAAGAGTTGGGTAGTATCATGGGTTTTCCTTGAAGGAAAAAAGCTTAGAGACTGTTCTTTAAAAAGTGTGTTTTAAGGATAGTATTATAAAAAGTAAAACTGAGGACTTACACAGTAAAACCCAAATCTCTTTAATTCAGTTCACTTTCACTGTTGCAGTATATCATTATAAAAAGGTCTTTGATAATTAGATATACTTTTTATTTGCATAAATTTAAAATGTGAGTTAAACAAGTAAAAGACAGGAAACAGTTTGCTGAGATTTTTTTCAGAGATAATATGACTGTCTTTTGTGGCTCTGGTTCTAGGCAGTATGAAACTGTGGTTCCACTTGAAGATTCTATTGTGACTGAGGTTACAGCAACTCTACAAGAATGGGCAAGTTTGTGGAAACAGTTGTATGTGGTAAGTAGTTGATTACTGGTTTATTGGATCATTAAAGTTTAGTGTACCAAGTAAAAATATTAACTTGTGCTAAGTATGCAGTTTTAGATTTCTGAATATTTGCAGTTTATCAAATGTATATTCTTAGTATTTACTGAAACATAGCAGACTGAGTTTTTTCAACCTGAGGAGCACACATTATTGTTCATATGCCTGTAGTTTCTCTACTCCAGTCGCTGGAATATGTTACATAGCACCAGGGATCTTAGCTGTCTTACTCATTGTTGTGTCCCCAGATGCTTTCATAAAACAGATAATTACAGAACAAATGAACCAACTTGAGAGTTATTTATTTTTATCTTTTGTGAACCTAATGGTGGATATAAAGGCCAATAAATTGTGTTAACAGTTTATAGCAGCAGCTACTAAGCTTCAAGGATATGTCATATCTGACACTTTGCTGGCCCAATAAATTAATAGAAAATGTAATAGAAGCCAGGCATGGTGGCTCACACCTGTAATCCTAGTGCTTTGAGAAGCTGAGGCAGGAGGATTGCTTAAGGCCAGGAGTTTGAAACTACCTTGGGGACCACCATCTCTACACAAAATTAAAAATTTAGTTGGGTATGGTGGTGTGTGCCTGTAGTCCTAGCTACTTGGGAGGCTAAGGAATGAGACCCTGTCTCTTAAAAAAAAAGTAATAGAAACCTAATAAAAAAGTAATAAAGTTCTCAGAAAACTTAGAAAGTAGAGAGTGATAAGATGTAGAAATAATCATAATATCTACACTAAAAATAAGTGACAGGGTTTGAACTCTGGACAATATGGAGTAAACACATTTTATTTTACTTCTACTAATACAGCAAAAAGCCCTGGATAAAGCACATAATTCACCTCCTGGAAAACTCAGAAAGTTAGAAAAAAGAGAATGAACTGCCAAGGGATTTGGGGGCTCAGGATCAAATGAATTTTCTTTCTCTCTCTCTCTCCTTTTTTCCCTTTCCTTACCTTCATATATCCTGACCTGGTCTCTGGAGAGGCACACAACTTGGAAATGCCAGTGGGTAGAAACCAACAAAGGAAAATTAGTGCCAAGGAAAGCCTGTTCTCTCTAGCCAGAGGATAGCCCCAAAAGACAGAAACTTTTTTAGTAATACTTTACTGTTCTCTAAGAGAACACACAATAAAAGCTATATTTCTCTCCTACCCTAACAGGCATTTCAGCAGTGGCATCCATAACCAGTGCTGTTTTATACATACATCCTTCCCCTCCTACAGTAACAAGAGGATGCCCCTCTCCAGTGGAGACTGTAGAATGAACTGGAAAAATCTGGAAAAATGTGGGGGTGGGTGGCCGGGAGGAACTCAGAAAATTAGACATTCACCCCCTACCCTATAGTAATGAAGTGGTGCCCCACCTCAGCGGAATATGAAGTAAGGAGGAGGTAACTTTCCATGGAGAAACCTGTGGTTGGAACTCTTGACCTCTACTTTCCTTGTTGTGCTTTCCCCAGCTGAGTCTGTGGGCAAGACTCTGACTTCCACCCTCGCTTCCCCCCTGCATTGATGAGGCAGACCCTGTGGGATAGTACCCTGTCTTCCATCCTTGCCCTGCTAAAATGAGGCAGTGCTTGTCCCCACCCAAACCCAAACTGAGGAGATAGTGGGGTGAAGTTATATCATCTACATAACACAAATGAGGGAAATTAGAAAAGCACTGCAGAGATTTTTATAACTAGATTTACATTCATGCACAGCTCATAAAGGTGAGAAGGTTGCAGTTTTAAGCAGGTTGACTACTTGCTAAAATAGATGATTTAAATAGGAACCAGAGTGTCATAGTACAATAATGTTCAGGATATGGTACAGAATTACTTGTCGTATGAAAAATCAGGAAAATCTAAACTCAGCAGATGCTGACACTGAGATGACACAGATGGGGAATGATTGACAAGGACATTTAAACAGCTTTTGTAAAAATGCTTCAACAAGCAGTTACAAACACTCTTGAAACAAACAAACATAGACAACCTTAGAAACAAAGTAAAAACTATAAAGAACCAAATGAAAATGATAGAACTGAAATATACAATAACCAAAATTAAAAATATATAAGCTCAATAGCAGCCTATAGAAATTATAGAGAAATGAATTGGTCAATTTGAAGATAGTTCACTAGAAATTCTCCCGTACAAATAATGGAGAGAAAAATAGAAAAAATGAGCTCTGCTTCCAGAGACCTGTGGGACAATAAGATAAGATGTAACACTGTAGCCTCAGAATACTAGATAGAGAGGACAGGATGTGGAGTAAAAAAAAAAAAATTTTTTTTCTTTTTTTTAAATGAAATAATGGCTGAAATTTCCCAGTTTGGCAGAAGACATATGCATCTTAGATTCAGGAAGCTTAGTGAACTCCAAATGGGAAAACCCCAAAGAAATCCATACTCAGACACATCATAGTCCAAATTCTGAAAATTAAAGCCAAACAAGAAATCTTGAAAGTAGCTAGAGGACATTTAACACATTACCTGTGACAACAATTTGAGTAACAGGTTTCTCATCAGAAAGTATGGCAGACAGGAAGTATCCCATCATTTTTCAACTGCTTAAAGAAAAAAACCAAAAAAACAAGCAGATTATCCTGAATTGTGTATCCAGCAAAAATATGCTTCAGGAATGAAGGGGTAATCAACCCATATCAGAAGGAGGAAAGTAAGAAAGTTTGTTGACAGGAGATTGGTTATAAAAGAATGACTATAAAAGGAAGTTGTTCAGAAAGAAAGGAAGTGACAACAGGATACTTGGAACATTAGGAATGAAGAAAGCAATGGAAAGGGTAGATTAATTCTCTCTTCAGTTTTTAAAGTTATGTTTGATAATACAAAGCAAAAATTATAATGTTCATACAATTCTCAGTGTATGTTGAATTAATATTTAAGAAAACTGTTGGCCGGGTGTGGTGGCTCACGCCTGTAATCCCAGCACTTTGGGAGGCCGAGGTGGGTGGATCACTTGAGGTCAGGAGTTGAGACTAGCCTGGCCAACGTGGTGAAACCCTGTCTCTACTAAAAATAGAAAAATTAGCCAGGCATGGCGTTGCATGCTTGTATTCCCAGCTACATGGGAGGCTGAGACAGGAGAATCGCTTGAACCTGGGAGGCGGAGGTTGCAGTAAGCCAAGGTTGTGCCATTGCACTCTACCCTGGGTGATGAGAGCAAAACTCCATCTAAAAAAAACCCAAAAAACTGTTTTATAAAGTGGAGAGGGAAAAGGACATAAATTATGATAGAGTAATTACATTCTATTTTAAGTATTAAAACATTCGGCCGGGTGTGGTGGCTCACGCCTGTAATCCCAGCACTTTGGGAGGCCAAGGTGGGCAGATCATGAGGTCAGGAAATCGAGACCATCCTAGCTAACACGGTGAAACCCTGTCTCTACTAAAAATACAAAAAAATTAGCCAGATGTGGTGGCGTGTGTCTGTAGTCCCAAGCTACTCGTGAGGCTGAGGCAGGAGAATGGTGTGAACCAGGAGGCAGAGCTTACAGTGAGCTGAGATCGTGCCAGTGCACTCCAGCCTGGGTGACAGAGCGAGACTCTGTCTCGAAAAACAACAACAACAAAAATTAATACTGGTAGACTGAGCAGCTCCGTATGTATATTGCAATCTCTAGAGCAATCATTAAGATATTACATAAAGTGATGTAATAAAAAGTACTATAAATCAAAATAGAATACTAAAAATGTTCAAATAACCTACAGAAAAATAGGAACAGGGGTGAAACCCCGTCTCTACTAAAAAAATACAAAAAACTACCAGTGCGAGGTGGCAGGCGCCTGTAGTCCCAGCTACTTGGGAGGCTGAGGCAGGAGAATGGCGTAAACCCGGGAGGCGGAGCTTACAGTGAACTGAGATCCGGCCACTGCACTCCAGTCTGGGCAACAGAGCGAGACTCTGTCTCAAAAAAAAAAGAAAGAAAAATAAGAAAAGGAACATAGAGGCAGGTAAAATAGAGGGAACAAATACAAAAGTAAATACTAAAATGGTAGACTTAAATCCTAGTATATGAATAATTACAAGATAGAGTTTAGCAGAATTGTACAATAAAAAAAAGATATGTTGTTTATATGAGACTCACTTCAAACTCACTTGTCTATATGATAATATAGGGAGGCTTACAGATAGAAAAATATATGCTATGCAAACATGAAAGAAAAACAGGATAATTATATTAATAACATGTCATTATATTGTGAATAATTTTTTCCTTAAATAAATACTATTAATTGTACTAATATAAGAAAAATTCAACATCAGAGCAAAGAAAACTACCAGGGACAAAGAGACAATACAAAATGATAGAAGGATCAATTCACTGGGAAGACAAAATAATCTTAATCTAACAGAGGTGCAAAATAAATAAAGCAAAACCTGAAAAAACTGAATAGAGAAAAGAGAAAAAAAATCACTGTTGTAGTTGGGGGTTAATGACCCATTCTCTTTGTAATCTGTATAACCACTAAGCAATAGTCATCAGGAATAGGGAAGAACGAAACAGTGCAATCAACCATAGGCTCTAATTGAAATTTATAGAATACTTAATAAAATCAGGATACAGATTCTTTTCAGTCAAACATGTTCATTCACCAAGATAGACAATATCTTAGTTCATAGAGCAAATCTCAACAAGTTTGTAGTAATTGAAGTCATACAAAGGATATTCTAACCATAATGGAAACAAATTAGAAATCAGTAACAAGAAAAAACAAAAAACCAGGAAAACCTTAAAAATTAAACAACCCACTACTAAATGATCTGTGTCAAAGAGGAAACTGTGAGAGAAATAAAAGATATATCAAAGTGAATTTAAAAGAAAATATATTAAAATCTGTGGGATACTGCAAAAGCATTGTTGAAAGGAAAATGTATGCTTTAAGTCCTAATAATAGGGGAAAAAAAAGCAAGGTTTCAAATCAGGCAATTTCAGCTCCTGCTCTACTGTAAGAAACTAAAAAA